GACACGAGTATTCGGCTAACGGTGCCGGGCTGGGGCTGTGGGGTTCTGATAGGACAGATAATCTCGCTAATATGATTGGTGATGAAATTTTATTCTGTTGACGTAAATCCGTTGACCACCTCCTGATCTCAGCTCTCTGGGTTGATATAAAAGAGACGCTATCCTCAGTATTTGCTCAGTTGCTGTCTATCGTGCAGTTTCTAAAGACCTGCATCCCGCCGTTTCAACTGCTTACGGTCATCATATAAACGAGGAATCTTTCCTGTGCTAGTGAGGTTCCCTTACTCCCGCTCGACGATGAATGCCCGTGTAGTTATTATTGCTACTGCATTGATGGCCCTGACGTTCGTAACGATCAGTAAGCCCGCTACCGCCCAGATTACTTTCAGTAAGAGCTGGCAGGCAGGAAAGCGTGCCCTGGACGAATGCGCCCAGAAGGAACTCCAAAGCGTCAACCGCATTAAGCAGCTGATTACGGTAAGTGGTTAAAAGAAAAGCATTAACTGGTTCGGTGAAAAATGTTACCCTGGTCAGTGGTAACAGTAACTGCTCGCACTTGCACAATGTACATTTTTAATGTATTCTAAAGTGACGTTCCGTAGATAGTGTGTTTAAGACGTGTCTGTCTGAGCTGAGAGAATAACTAACTGCAAAGGAACATTTAAAGCAGGCAAAAATTTTTCCCAACTAAAATGGAACCGCCGTGTGTTTAGTCCGACTATAGATAAGCATACACAGATCGCTTCTTAACATTTCGATTACCTTTTTTTTTTCGCAATTTTATCGCTGTCTCATCAATACAAACTGTCGAATTTGTAGTGATCGTCGAACGAACTGGCATTGCAAAATTTAAGAACACGCAAGAGGGGGTTCATTGTTAGTGGTTACCCATAAGCCATCGTTTTTTTTTTTTCTACAAAGTAAGAAAGATACTGATGTAACCTTAGACTGAATTTTCTAGTTGTCATAGTTATCATTGACCTCTATGGTCTGAAACTAAAGTAGGCTTAAAGCGAACTACTTTTCCAGGAAGAACGCGTGAGTTTTTGTTCGGTTTCTTATTAAAGTTGCATAATTTAGTTAAAATTAACCACTGTCAGTTTGTTGTGCTGAGCTATAATTGTTGTGTAGGCCACGATTGGCCAAGATGATGTGTAACTGGCTCATACAAACGTAATATAACAAATGCGATCTTCCCTCATAGGCACTTTTAGCTACCTGTGGTTGGCAGAGTTAAAACGATATCGTGCCTGCCATTGGACGGCTACTTGGTGCTTTCCTGTGCAAAAGCGGGTCAAAGTATCACCGGAACAATAGGAAGACGATGAAGTGACATAGAGCACTAAAAATCAATCAAAAATACGCTAGATAGGTTCACTAATAGGAGGTAGAAAACGTTATGTTTACCCCCCTCCCCCCTCCCCATTCTTCTAAGTTCGTATACTATTTCTTTATATAGGGTGAAACATCTTTTGACAATTGAAGGGTCATCGTTTCACGTATATAGAAGTAACGAGAAATACACAGGTTCTTTTAATGAAAAGCGGATTCAACTGTACAAAATATTTATGAGGGTCCAGCCTGATAACGCCCCTATTATTTCTATAATAGTGTCTTGTGATCCCATAGAGCTAATATATGTATAAAATACATTAGCTGCAACAATTACTACAATGGTCATTCAGATGGAGTTATCGACTGCTATAAAAATGGTACAATTTAATTTTAAAACAATAATTATTTTTTCATAAAAGTCTACACGTCATACTTCTCATTGACGAAGGCAACACTATAGGAACAGAAAAATTACCATCCGGACAAGCAGGCCATAGAGCATCACTGTAGTGTGTGAAATAGTGTCCATACCGATCCAGTGATGTCATCTTCAGGCTTTCGAGAAGCGCTCTGTGACCTTATTAAACTAAAAGTTGGATCTTCATTCCTGAAGAGATACTGAGGGCGCCCAGGACACAGTTGACTCACTGAAACATTGTATTCAAAAGACTCTATATTCGCGAAGTGATTGGTGAAATCGATACTACGCCAAACTGTGATTTAAATTTACGTGAAGCGGATTAAGTTACCAAGCAAACAATCCTTGGAAGAAGTTTGTCTAATATTATTCGCATAGTTGCGTTGCTTGCGTAGTGCAAGTTATCTCCCCTAAGCTGAGCTAAAGTGAGAATAAAGACACGCACATGTTTTTGCATATATCCTACCAGTTTAGAGATATTTTTTTAACTGTCCAGTTTTTGATGACTCTGAAGAATTTGTTTTCCCACACACTCAAATGTTTACATAGTACCCACCTGTATGACAAATCTGAATTCCCGCGCAACGTTCCAGATACTACGCCTCTTGCCGTACAGCGTCTGTTCGCCAGAAACGGCGTCGGTGACCACCGCAGACCACGTTGACAAAATGGTCTCGTCCGACAAACGCTATAACATATATGTTTCGTTAATAACTAGACCTATTTAAACGCAGACATTAGCCGTTTATCTTCTTAAGTCAACATCTCGTTCACTGTCCCAGAGAAAATTTTTATTGAAGATCCGTCTCAGCCTTACCAGGTATACAGTGAACAGTAGGCATGCTTCTGAGCGGTGCTTGTCGTCGCATTCGCGTCACGCATACGTAAAATAGCCCTGTTGTCGTTCAGCGCTTTTACGTGACGTCTGCCTTGTTCTCGGTAATCTATAGACGATGCGTGTGCACGCGCTACCTCTATCAAATTCGACAAGGATTCTAAAAGCTATAAAAATTTCTGACTATGTGTTCTGATATATATAAGGTCATCTAGATTATTGAAATTTTGATGACGGGCAAAATGGATCTAGCCGCTACCTACCTATATATGTATGCGTGTGTAGACTTCCGAAAATTCTTATAACTTAAGCTTGTTTCATTGATTTTTTTTAAATTCCCTCTTTAGGGACAAAGCCTTTGTTTTTTTGTGGCTGAAACTTTTCCTACCATTATTGAACCTAGCTATTACAAGCTTCAAAGCTGTGGCTCGTCATGGGGATCACTAGACGGCGGTTGCTGCCAGGCCACGTTCGTGCAGCTCCGTTGCTCTCCCTGGTGAATGTACATGTTGCACAAGTACGGCGCAGTAGAAGGAGATGTGGGTCTGAAGCTGAAGCATAGTCCTGCTGCAACAGCAGCCACTATTACCGCCGTCATGGTGGCATGGGATAAAGTGGTCCCCATCTGTTTAGACACTCTCTGCTTTCCTCCTGCAGCGTAACCGTTTGGCGTCTGTATGTCCGTTCAGTAACAGAACCGCGCTAGTGGCATTGGAATATGGCACGCGCTGTGTGAATGCAGACATGCGCTATTCTCCGTCGTGGTGATGTGTATATAGATGCAGCGACATAGAATGCTGCTGTTACTGGCATTACGGCGCTGGCTGCCTAGCTAGCGTCTCGTTGTCTGCTTCCTATTCTTTCATGTCGTTCGAACCCGTGCGACCACAGCGGCCCCAAGCGGGCCTCACTATGAGAATGCAAGGATATGCAAGAATACTGTAGGATGCTCCAATGACGAGAGCGAGAGACAGAGGTGGAGAAAGGGGGAGGGTTAGAAACAAACAACGAACCAACGCTAGCGGCGAACGAAGGAGCGACACTGGGGTCTAAGACTGACTTGCGATCGCGAACCACCAATACGTCTGAATAAAGAAGAGATATGGGAAGGACTGAAAAGAGGAAGACCCCAGTATCCAAAGGCAAACCTTCCGTATCCAATACAAAAGCTACCTTCACTTGAGAAAAATTTTATTCTTGCTGTAGCGTCATTCTCCTGAGGGCCACCTGTAAAGGCCTACCCTTCAATGGGAAACATCCCCGGCGGCTCCTTGTATAGACGACACCAAGCGACGTCCATGACAGAATACAGCGGGAGAGATTGGCAACATGTTGAAATATATGCCTTTGAATATAACAAGCACATAACGTTCACAGCAACCACACTAATGATAACTACGACAGAAAACACTGTGCGGGCACTGTTTCTACCAATAGCCGTAGACTCCGTATATCCCATAGCGGATCCCGTGGGCCAAGGGGTTCTGAACATATTGGAACGGATTTGTTTCACACAACAGAAGAGGTGCGGTCTAATAGGCAAAAAGACAGTAAAAAGAAACAAGTCTGGCACTCAAACCAGGGGTAACCATTCGTAGGATCGCCAAAACCGTCATAACATCAAGCTTTTGGAGAATGAAAGAACGCATTAAACGGAGAAAAGGAACAAAGCTGATAACCGTAATGCCCATTTTAATAAATTGGGCGCATTGGTTTTAATATATTGCAATGTCTTGTGGTATATGTGAATATATGCAGGGGAGTCTGGGGCTATGTGGATTCATATTTACACTTGAATTTTTTAGCAGTTGGTCTAATAGAAAATTCAGTGATGCAAGTTGCACTAAATTTCTAAAAAATTTGAAGGTATTAAATATTCCAATTAGTGTTCCCTTACTAGAAAAAAAACGAAGTAGCCCACATAGACCCTATTCCATATAGCCCTACCTAATCCTATGCGTGTATTGCATAAAGCTATACCTATCATTTCAGCTAAAAGTTTAACACAATCCCAGCTTTATTAAGCAAAAACACTGAACCTAAATTGCGAGGTCATCAGTTTATAACGGTTAGTGGAAATAATGACCATTCAGATTGTTTTGAATTACCGTTTTGGTGCATTAACCCATCTATAACAAAAGTGACGAATATACTAATACCATTTTTATTGACTCCTTCTATTATCTCAGAGAGGGTTTAAGGTCGGCATTATCACCTTGTGTTATATGCTACGGAGGCGACTGTGGTGGTAAAAATGTTCATCTCAGTCAGCGTTAGCTGAATTAAGTGTAAGAGCTCCGTTGATTCAAGTAAATACACTGTCGTACACGGAATAGCGTCGAAATAAAGAATAACACTTTGACGTAGTCTCAACTTGCTTCTGTTGTTGTTTCTAATTCTGCTCTGTTGCAGAAGGAGGCTATAGCCCTACTGCAATGTCGAAGCGACCCCCTTGAGTAAAGTGTGCTTTGACACTCGGTCGGTCGGTCAATGAGAAACAGACGGAAAAAAGGGAAGGACATCAGGCGAAAGAAGAGTCTGCAGGTGCTCGACTAGGACAGGGTAGTAGGACACAAGCTGACGGCCAAATCCAAGAGGGCAACTTGTCGTGGTAAACAAAGAGCTATGCCGAGTACGCCGAGAGATACCGAATGGCAAATGGAACGAAGAAAATCTAAAAGAACGAGAACGTTGAAAACCAAAGGGATCACCGGATCGCCTTTGAGACCGCAGAAACAGCCGCTGTCACCACGATCAAAGTCTTCGCACTATACGAGCGCTGACGAAGCCTCTGAATAAGAAAACGGGACTGTCCATAAGTCCACCGTAGTTGTCCTTAATCCACACGGAAAGGCAAAACGAACCGCGAAAGCGGAAATAGTGAAAACGGCACAATTCAAAACGGGAAAAAGCAGAACAAATTACTAACAACCGCGTAGCGAGAAGAAGACCTAAACAATGGATGACAGAAATAATATACAGGATATATATATATATATATATACATACTCATAGTTAATAATGATGATTTGAGAGTAATAAAGGACAGCTGAAAATTCTATTGAGACGCAAAAGATGATCGTATAGTGGGCATCGTTGCAGAACGATAACAATACTGATAACAGCAACGGCTTGCGAAGGCTAATAGAGTTATGAATAGGAAAGGCTATGAGGAGTATAATTTAGAACGAATGTGTGGAAAATGGCTTGTTACAATCCGTTATTAAGGCAAGAAGGCCGAAAAGGCGATCTTGAGTCGACCTAAATAAATGTCTTGCAGTTAAATGAAATATTGCCAACAGTAATGACGTTCCTACCCATACTATATGTCTTCCTTTGGTTTTCTTTTTTGTACTTGCACATTTCTCCTTGTTAAGAGACAGCTGGCATGTTGCTCGATACAAAAGTTCTGTGATTCCTGCCTAGCAAGTGTATAGATAATACATTTATCGAACAGGCAGCGTGCTATTTTACTTTATACACCTACCTAGCTCTCATATCATTGCGATATGGATCATGATCATTTTGCCCTATTATTTGACTCCAAGCTGCTTCCCAATTTGACCCCAGGATAGTCTGGCCCAATCAACTGGGGAGTATTATTCCGTTCTTGTCCAAAACAACTCTCAAAGTTCAAAGATTCGAAAAAAATGTTCCTCAATTGACGGCCAGCAAACAATGTATCGTGTTATAATACTGACAGGTGTCTCGAACGTTAGATGGAGCCGCAAGTGGATATTTTCTTGATGCAGGTAGCACCCCTTCGTGGCTTGTTCGCACAAAACTGCAGAATTGCTTTCCGATATTGGCGTTTGTAAAAATAGAAGCGTCGATTATATTCATTCTTTTTAATTGTTTATCTTTTGTTTCTTTGCTATTAAAGGCGCGAGCTTGTTAAGCTGTCTTTTCTAGAGATGCTTCGATATCAGACGACGTTTTATACGCTCCTGGCACAGACACCGTAATTTCCTGTTCATCATCGACGACTCCTATAGAACTAGTACAAATATGGCACCCATTTGTACTTGCAGTACAGGTTCTTAGAGCTTGCAATGAGAGGTACGGAACCGAGCTTGCCGTTGCACCTTTAACCATGATTCGAATGGACGTTGATGGGAAGATACGCCACGCCTGCAACAACGAGCAAGGGATTCTCCCGTACCAACTTATACTAAGAAATGAATAAGTACAGTTGTTTCTGTTGTGCCATGCAATCAAGCCGTTAAATTGATATCTTGAAAGGAGTGAACTGACGGGTGGATCATCTAGCCAACCCCTGTGTATAAGCGGCGGACCATGTTACATATTAATGAATAGATTTTCAACCAGGTTTTCTCTGACACTGGCTACCGAAACACTACCTGACGTAACAGTGCATTCTGTTCCAAAAGGCGCGAAACGCTGTTTTTTTTTTTCTTGAAAACTGGCTATTAGGTAAACTAACAACTTTTATAGATGCTGGTGTTTACAAATGTCAGAACTCGCGGTCTCTCAAATAGAGAGACACGATATTTGGATGTTGTTTCTTCCAAACCGTTTATTGTGCGCATATTGAAGATGAAGCTTCTTCATTTATACCTTCATCTTCAGAAGGAAAAGTGTCAGTTGATTCACTGAATACTGAATGGATTGACATCTAAAGGGTGCGTTTATTAGGCAGTAAAAACGTATGATCTGCTTAAAGAACGGGACCGAGTACAATGGGAATTCTTTGTGCGGACGTACGATCGTTACTGTACCAAGAAGGTGTACTTTAATCTCGGCATCCAATTAACTTATTTATGCTGCGGGGTGATTTTTTTTATCTAGTTGAAAAGTAACTGGATGCTAAGTTTTCGAAGCAAGCTTAGCGTATCGTGAATTAGTGAAGCTATCTACACAGTGTGCACGCACGATGTTTCACATTTGTTATATTGACATTTTTTTTTCTCGCAATTTTACTGCTAAACATAAATTATTTAAGAGCATTTCCCTTTGCTTTTCGGCGTTTTTCTCTGGCTTCCAGCTTGGACATCAAAGATATTGTCTGGCCGTTCACAATGAGCACTATAGTTTTTCTTTATACCTGTATCGAGTGCCATTATCAAGACCTTCGTTTGTTAGGACAAAACTGCATGAATCGTCAAAAATTATCGCAAGAAAGCTGATAGTAGATCTCAGAATTTCTGCAATGAAGTATCAAATAAACGACCGAGCCTCCTATCAGATACAATTAGCACTCATGTCGGAGCACATCAGGAATCTCACTAACGCAATGACGAGCAGAGTATGTCCGCATGGCAGACAACGTAAGTAAAGGCTGACGTAAAACTATAGGCGAGAAACAAACGCTCTTATCCTTTATCTGGAAATACATATGTCTATATAAAGATGTGGAAATGGAACGAACGTACAACATAGTGTCAAGCGTGGGCTCTTTCTTCAAGCAAAGATTTCCTACTTTTATCACTCTGTTAAAGAGGAATAGCATAGGTCTAGTTATCATACAGAACGTAATAAGCTGAATTTTATTTTTGCGAACTAGATAAAATTCTCCATAGCAAAAGCTAGCAACGTGACAAATAAAATTTCAGGTATCAGGTACGATAGATGCAAAAGGATAAGCTACGGCCTTCTTCATTCGTCACAGATTTTTTTACTTTAGCTGTGTTTCTCATAAGAATTGGAATAGTTCTATCATGTTAACTATGGTGCATTGTACTGAGTCATCAATACAGCCGCCGCAATAGAATGAATAGAATAGAAAAAAAAAATCCTATTGGATTCGTTGTGTATGCTCGGGCTGCCAAGGCTCGGAACGAATGGTGGTGCCTAAGGTGATATTACGTAAGTACGCGTCGAGGAATAAGCACGAACAAACAGCACAGTTTGTTAAATCTGATTTATCTTAGAAAGAACATCAGAAAGCCAGAAGTCGAATCAGACTTTCAAGAGGCACCACATTTACAAATTGTTGATAGGAGGAGCTAATATACATGAATTATATTTTGTTCTCTCCAATATTTGTCAGATATTCACCGATTGAAGGACGTCACGAATCGAAATGATCTGACTTTTCCGAGGTGAATCAACAGTGTGAAAATTATTTAGAGGAGAAGTATACGGCGGAAAAATTATCACAACATTGCATTACTAATAGCAAAAATATACCGCATCTCCTGAAAATAATTTTTTCTAGTTTATGGGTAGAATACTGTTTGTCAGTTATGTCTAAGGGTCCGTTCAGGTAAAGTCGTTTACAATGCCTTATCGTTGCACCTGTTTACGCATATTTTGCGTGTAATTTCGCGTCAGAGTAGATACGACTGAATTGGTTCTTACGTAACCGTCCCACGTATCTATTCGATTTTTTCCCTAACTAATTATCTAGTTTATAGCTAATAGTCAAGCATGAGAGCAGAAATCTGATAAAAGCAGAAAACTGATAATCAATTGATAACATTTTTTGCCAGAGTTTGGCTGATCGAAATTTGATCATATATCATTGCAAGTATCAGAGGAGGCCAAAGATAATTACCTTTCCATACTCTCTTTTCTCTGGGGCGCACTTCTGCGCATGTATTCAGGTCATCTACATATCGTACATAAGCTACACTAAGCTGTTATTGCATTGTAGCCGTTGGAGTCTAGGGATCGGGTACAGGAGCAGAGCGCTCCCAAAGGGGATCTATACTACTCGAGAAAAAGTTGCAGTTAGCCAGCCATTCGGACCGATTAAGCCCAGTAGTCTCGAATTCGGAACCTTTATAATTACTTAGAAGCCTCAAGTTAAGGCTAATAATTTGATTGTGTAACTACCGTGTTATGTTATTTCTGTATAATACTGTCCGTATGGTTTTTCATATTACACAGTCTGCCAACTAAATCTTACTCGATTTGTGTGAAGATTTTTTTGAGTTCGCAAAAACTGCAGGTGAACCATTGCCAGACGAACCAGCTAGCTTCAAGCCGAGTCTCTGCAAGCTAAGCATCCATTGAATATATATACTAGATTTTTATGGTTTCACACCATCAAAAATGAAAACGTCGATTTCCGTACGTTTCGCAGAAGACTCGTAGTGAGTCATTTCGCGCTGAACGATTCATATCGTCGGTGTTATATTGAGGCCATACAAATACAAGCAGAGATAACTAAACACCTATTCAGTGCTACGTAACCAACGCTAGAGGATTGTTCGGTCCATCAAAAGCGAAATTCAGGAACTTTGTCTGGTGCCGAAGTATTTCACGATAAGCGCCTCTCTTAGACTTGCAGAGACATAATTTATCCATCATGTCAACATCATCACCTTCGTTCCTGTTTTATTAGAATATAGTAGCGGTCGTACGTTGTTAGAAATATTATTAAGCGTATGTAGTTAGGTGTGATTAGGATATCGGTTTCAACATCTTTCCTTGACTGCTATAAGTACGAATAATATAATGTTATCTATGCATCTTATAAATGTTCTAAATAATAATATCTCTATAGGCTGCCAAGGATGCCCATATAGCCAGCTGGCAGTATCATTTTATAGAGGAAAATTAAGTGTGGCCGAAACAGACTGAAGTTGTCCCTTGTTTTTTTTTTCACAGACATACGCATACTGGAGAGACGTATGTAAGCCAACTTCCAGAAACGAAAGACGCTGGGCTAGTACAGAGTCGAGCCGACGGGGAACTTTGCAAGAAAAGAACACTTTTAAATTATGATGAACGAAATACCCATAGTGTTCAAGCAAAACGCACATGTTATCCGCCACTTTTATCTTACTTTATTCAGTTTATCGATACGCCGATACGTATGATTGATAGTTGTATTATCATCGCAGCTTACCTTAACCGATGCCTTTATATCTTCATAAATTCCTTGAGAGATTATGAATTTGGCAACGATTTCGGAGTATTACCAAAAATGGCTACCCCAGAGGCAATGAAATGTGGTCGGATGAAAAAAAAAATGAAGGAACGCACATCGGTGCCATGGACACAAACTCACTGTGACAACCTTGTGACCATTACGAATATTCTTGCAATTGTCTCTAACTATGCAGTCGTTATCAGCGTGTGACGATTTCATAAATACTTCGATACCTCGGTGAATAAGTCGATAGATTTGTGTACCATCTATCCAAATATAAATATGCTATCGTCTTCTGGCTTTCCGTTCAATGCATATAAGTGGTACTTATTGAAATCTCTGCCCTAGAATTCGCTCGCAATAATTCTCCGTCTATTTCGTTAAATATATCTTGCTGTACGCAAGCCTTCGAACAGCATACATGCGCGTGTGTACGTGTACGTAGAGACTCGAAATAACACGGTTCGGGACTAAGGCGATGCCAATCTTGAAAATTAAAAAACTAGTTGACGTAAGATGAGAGCGTAATAACAACAAACCGAAAGTTATTGTCTCTAGTGAAATGGTTCACGTGCCGAATGGCTGTGGAGGGGAAGCTTCAGCAATCATAAACATTCGTTCCACCTTGATTGCTTCTCCAAACAACATCTGTCCGCTTCATCTACGGTTTGAAGTCTCATAAATGACGGTCTGAAGCAAACACACGTTGGCTTATTCGACGGCGTCCGACCGTATTCTCGACTGCGTAGCGAAAAAAAAACATCTCGTTCATTCAACATTTCCACTTAACGAAAACGAAATAATTATCGAATGAAAAAAGATAGTGAGCACAGGAGGTAAGCAGGCACATATGCTGCACGGAATGGCAGTTTGAGTCAGATGCACATAAAAGTAAGATTGAAAAAAAAAAAAAAGGCAAAATATATGCAAATAATTTTCATTAGACTTGGCCAACTAAGCTGAAAAAATCGCTTCGCTGGTCCGCCAGCAGCGCAACGCCGTTCCTCAAGGAGAACCTGCACCCCCGCCAAAACTGTTTCAGAGCTATATCGAAAGCAAATCGCCGTAAGAATGTCTTCAAACAATAATATCTATAATAATCTACCGTGAAGATTTAGATCAACGGCAACGAAACAGAGTAAAAGTAAAACGATAGAACGGTATGGATGAATTAAAAGCCCGTTCTCGCCGGCGGGATCTGGGCTCGAGGCCCACGACTGGTGAAGTTGTCAACCAGTTCCGTCCGTCTGGTCGACTATTCCATAGAAAA